CTCATCCAGAGCTACAAAGACAACTTCTGGCAGCTACAAGTGTGAACGTTTTAGTTGAAACCATAAGAAAACGGCTTCGTGCAAGAGGGTTTTACAGTAGGAGAGAGTTACGGATCCCATCAGTTATCTCGGCAAAATAAAATTGACCGATTAAATTGCTGCCTTTAACATCAAAACTGGACAATTGGGAATTGGCAAAATGTTCTTTTTTCGGATGAGAGCACAATTGGCTTAAGATCAGATAACCATCGAATTCGGGTACTCAGAGCTCCAGGTAGACGAGCGAGACTTCAGGCTGCCAAATCTGTACCAAGATATAAAGGAGGAACTGTAATGTTCTAGGGAGGTATTATACTGGGAGCATAAACTCCATTGTTACCACTTAAACAAATTTTAACGGGTCGGAGATATGTTGATTTGGTACTAGAACCAATCGTTAGTCTTTGGAGAGCTGCAATTGGGGATAATTTTAACTTTATGCACGATAGTGCACCTCCCCATACTAGCAGAGTGACTAGAGAATGTATTGAAGCGGAAGGTGTTATAGTTTTGGACTGGCCTGCCTATTTACCAGATCTAAACCCTATCAAACACTTGTGGGACTAGCTCAAAAGAAGGGTTAGAGCTCGTCGAAACAATCCAGGAAATCTCGCACAGCTTATTGATGCAGCATTAGCAGAATGGGAAAACATACCCCAAGACAACGTGGATAATTTAATAAGAAGCATGCCAGCGCGGATGTTGCATAAGGGCTAGAGGTGACAACAAGGAATATTAAAATTATCATTTTTCTTTTTGTTTATGCTTTTTGGCCATTAAAAATTTAAATCTTAATTTCGTTTCATAAACCAAAAAAATACCATTTTGTTTATTTTGGAAACTGGTTATTTTTTTTTATGGCTATATGGATTATTTTTCACTAAAAGTCATTGGAAAGGACTGAATTTTATTCATAAACACAACATTTTCATACATCTCAAAAATTATGAAAAATAATAGATAAGTTTGGTTGTATGTATATCTGGAGAGATGATCGAGACCAGCAACTGTCATTCCGTTTTCAAGACAAGACCATTTCCACGCATTTTCTTCCATCATAACACTTATGAAAAGTAACATATATATTAAACAATAAAAACACCATCCAAGGCCTTTTATTTTAAGAAACAATAAATTGGCATAATAAATTCTACCAACAATCATTAACATAACAAGTAAATAAATTTATCATAAATTACTTAGCAACGTATTTTATATTTATTGCTATATATTTTAAATAAATAATTAAAATACAGTACCTGCAGTAACCAATAAATTATTGGATCTAACTTATTTATAATATATCACATTTTTACACGATTTAATTAAAATTAGAACGGCACCGATAAATTTACATTTACGGAATTTAAGTCAGCTATAAAACTCACATAGCGCTCAACCTAAGTTTTTTGATGCTCCTTACATTACCTAAATACGAAAATATTTTAAAGTTTCTTAATAATAAATATTATATTATATGGTTTATTTTGCACTGATAAGTTTTCAATCTACACCTTTGAAGCCTTTAATTTGTTAATTTGAATCGTAAACCTACATAGTCTAAAGGTTAAAAAACTAGAAACAATCAAGGACAAGCTAGTGTTTATCATTTTGACCGTCTAGAGTTATGGTGTGGAATATTAAATTATTTGTAACAATATCCCACGATGGTTAATAATCGGTCAAGGAAAACACACATATATATATATATATATATATATATATATATATATATATATATATATATATATATATATATATATATATATATATATATATATATAACGGATTTGGTTTAAGTATTTAATACTCATTTCCAACTACAGCCTATTGCTGCCTTCCCGTTACCCTACGCCACACATCTCGATTTAGAGCGTCATCAGCTTCTAGGTTACGAGCTTCCATTGCTTCCGTAACCGTTCCGTTCCAGGATTTTCTAGGTCTACCTCTCTTTCTTCTGCCCTGGGAGCCCATTGAAAAACTCTTTTTGCCACCTGTTCTCCGGCATACGCAGAACATGTCCAAACCATTTTAAGCTGGATTTTTCGATTCGATCCAGTACTGTCTCCTCCGATGCATTCATGATACGCCTGACCTCGATGTTTGTCTTTTTTCCATCCTAGATATACCTGCACTTCTTCTAAGGTAGTCCATTTCAACAACTTGGATTTTGCGCTTCGCGTCTGCACTCAGAGTCCACAGCTCTGAACCATAGCAAAGAACTGACTCCACCAATGTTCTTCCAAGTCTCTTTTAGTTTTTGCAGATAAGTTTCGGTCCCACCAGAGGCTGTTAAGACATCCAATAACTTGTTTGCTCTTCTGAATTCGGGTTTGTATTTCTTCTTTGCCCAAACCCTCGTTGTTGATAGTAGCACCCAGGTATTTAAATTTGTCTACTTGTTGAATCTGGACGTTATCATTAATGAAGACTTCAAAACAAGTGTTGGAATTGACAGCTAAGTATTCGGTCTTCTTTAGACTAACCTGAAGTCCCCATTTGTTGTATACTTGATAAAGCCTCTTAGTCATGAACTCTAGATCGTATGAGTCCTGCGCAATCACGACCTGATCGTCTGCAAAGCTCAGGGTAAATAGTGTGTTGTCCCCAATGGGTATTCCCATACCTTGATATTTCGTCTTCCATTCCCTAAGGGCTAATTCGACGTAAGCGTTGAAGATCAGAGGAGATAAGCTGCATCCTTGTCGCAACCCTTTTGTGGTGTTAATTGGATTAGATAGCCTGTGTCCTATCTTAACGTACGATTCATTTTCTTTATATAGCTATTTTATTATCTTAAGCAAAGGTCTATCTACTTCTAAGATATTCAATACTTCCCATATCTTGCTGCGGGGAATAGAGTCGTACGCTTTCTCCAAATCAATAAATGCTAGATGGACTTCTTGATCTACTGCTATCTTTTTTTCCATCACCTGCTGCAGGACAAAAAGGTTATCTGTGAAAGATTTCCCCGGTGTGAATCCGCTTTGGTCTTCCGAGATTTGTCACCAATACTGTCCCTGAGCCTACCCTGTAGCACCTTTCCAAAAAGTCTGCTGACCGAACTGTTAATGCTCTATAACAAGTGGGGTCGTTACGATTTCCCTTTTTAAAGATGGACATATGTGAGCCACTCGCCGTTCTCGGGGTAGTTTACTTTGCAGGCAGCACTGGTTAAATAGCTCTGCCAGACGCCAGCGCAGTCTTTGGGTTCCACACTTTAACAATTCGGCTACAATATTACCAGGACCTGGTGACCCATTTTCATTCTTTTGAGACTTTGATGTACTTCTCTTTCGCTTATCATTAAAGTGCCTGCAAGGTTGTTCTCGTCTTCTACTGCTTGGAATTCTGGTCGGTTTTCTGTGAGTAATTCTGCATAGTAGTTGCGCCATTTTTCTATATCCATTCTATTCAAGAGCTTGTCCGTTTGATTGGTTTTCATTTGTCGGATTGTTCTCCATACCTCAGTACTCCGTGCGCCCCCTATTAGGCTTTCCACTTGCTGGCACCTTCTTTCCCAAATATCTGTTTTTCCTACCTTAATGGCGGCTCGTACCTCTCTATTTTTTTGCTTGTAATGACTCCAGTTAGTATCTGTTCGGTCTGAGAGCCATCTTTGATAGAATTTTTGTTTGTCATTGATTAAGGCCTTTATGCTGTCAGTTATCCAAGCTGGTTCATCTTTTTTTTTCTGCATGTTCTGTTCACCTAAAACTTCGAAAGCTACTTTTTTAATTAGGGTTTTTAGGTTGGTATACTCCAGTTCTACATCGTTACAGGCTTTCACTTCCTCTAGGGCTACATCTAATCTTCTCTGGTACAACCATTTAATACTGGTATCGTGTAGTAAATGAAGCTTGTACTTAATACGATCAGATTCTTCAAATTCTTCAAGGAAAACACATCAAATAAAAAAATAACACTGTTTTTTTTTAAACCTCTTGTATTAGTTGCAGTATACAATGGATACATTTTAGTATACTGTGTTTTACAACTCCGGGAAGATTTCAACATACGATTCGCAGATGACTTCCATATCAATCAATTTTATTTCACTAAAAAAATTCTATTTTTTTAAGTTAACTATAGATGGGTTTATATACATATCCGTCATGCGTCGTTCATTGTTGTTTTTAGCCAGCCTTATTGATTTATTTCAAAAACGACAGACCTATTTCAATATGATTGGAGTGACGGAACGATGAACGACGCACGGACGCAGGTGCGTATGTAATCGACTTTAGATTTTAGAAACTTGTCGTCAAATTAAAGTTGTTATTGTATCAAATTATCTGAAATAACCAGCATTCGAGCGTTTTGGAAATTCATAAATGTTTGCGATATTATTTTTACATTTATTTGATTTGTGTCTTCGTTATGTTTTTTAAAATTAAGTAAAGCAAAATGGAGTAAAAAGCCGGTGTGGACCCAGAGAGTTGTATTAGCCACCAATAAAGTTTGTTACCATCTCATATGATATGGTACTATAAAAAAGTTTAGAGTTAACTAACCTAGTTTTAAATTCAGTGTTTTTAAATAATTGAAATTATTATTAATTGATTATTTTGTTTTATTTATGTTGTGTTTTATTTATTCTTGTGCAATATCAAAACTATTTTATTTAAGTTATATTGATAAATATAATAATAAATGCCAGGAAGTTTCTTGAAGTTTGCAAGAAAGAAATATATATTTTTATAGATTTTTTGTATGTGGTGTTTTTTTGAATAAAATATCATGATTAGATTTTATGAATTTTATACATTTTTTCTTTGAATTAATAATTTGTTACTAAAATTAAATTAAATATTTTAATTTCCCGTTTTGCATTCCAATGGTACCAACTTATTTCCTTGTAAAATAAAACAACTACTTTGAAATTAAAATGACGCATCTATCACTGTCAAGAATTTTCTCGTTGGACAAACTATATAGTACATATTCTAGTGGGTACTTACCGCAAATCAACGCCAATCCGAACAGATCGGTGTCCAACATGCCCTGCTGCGCGAAGTGCCTACATGTCTGCAGGTAGAGTTCGCGCACCCTCGACTTGGCCGTGGCCACGAAGTACAACGTCTGCTGGTGGAGCAGGTGGAGGGCGAGGAAGCGGGCCGAGGGCGGCAAGGGGGCGCCGGCGGAGGGAGGGCTGCTGCACGCGGCCAGGGGGGCGCTCACGGTGCACAGGCCGCCGCGCATCGCCCGCGCATCCTAAGGTCGGTAGCGGGGGGCGCCGGCGAGCCAGTGCGCGGCGCCTGCCGTGGCCGCCACTGCTGCGCGGCTGGGTGGCCGCACGCAGAGGCTCACCTGGAACAAAGGAAAAAGTGCAAACGTTAGTTACTGGTAAATTTGAATAAATAACGATTATTATTTTTAGAATCAAATAATTTATATAGGAACATGTGAAAATATCAGCATACACAATATCTCACCCAAATAATACAAACCGTTACCAAAGATATACAAGCTAGAGGTAAATATAAAAATGCGAGATTGCCACTTATATATTAAAAAAGTTTATAAAGTAATATAGAGAAAACGTTTGTTAATATATCCAGCACAGCTCCCTATGAATTAATGTTTCCCTAATGAAATTCTTCAAAATCTAATATATTTACTATCGTTACCGTTAATGATTTAACAATCTATCTAAAGAAACTGTAATGTCCCAATTCTTTAAGATCAATTAACCTCCCGCTGATGCTTTAATAATTCACATTTCTTCTTTTTTGCTCTATAGCATCTATAGTATGGTCATTTAGTTCTAAACAATGGTTTAACTGGAAAGTTTTCCAAAATGGCTAATTTTATAGATTTTGATGTGCTTTCCGAATTTCAACTTTGCCACCTCTTAACTTTTCTGCTCGCGCCATCATATTGGAAAAATATCAGAAAGAGCACGTCAAAATCTATAAAATAATCCCAAATGACAAGAAACAAGACAAGAAAGCTCACAGATATTTTCTTTTCTTCTTTCTCAGCCTGGTTCCATCCAGTATTAAATATAGACCTCTTCTAGGTTTTTCCATGATTCGCGATCTCTAGCCAATCTTATCCATTGTCTTTCTGCCACTGTTCTGACGACCCATCTTTTTTTTGATCGGGCCACCCTTTTTGTTGTTCCCCTAGGTCTCCATAGAATGACTTTTTGGGGTCATCGGTCTGGATCCTGTTTTACCACATGTCCCATCCATTGCCACTTCACACTTGCCGCTCCTTAACTACATCTATTAGTTTTGTTTTTTGACGTATGTGGGTGTTCCGTATTTTCCCTCATGGTGACTCCTAACATGATTCTTTCCATGGCCTTTTTGCAACTCGTAGTTGTTCTGCTGTTTTTCGGGTAAATGCCATAGTCTCAAAGCCATACGTAAGCACAGATCGATTGCAGCTGTCGTAAGTCTTTTTCTTTAGGTTGATGGGCACCGTTTTATCCTTGAAAATATCGCTCATATTTTCAAATGTTACCCATACCAAATGAATCCTGCGTTTGATCTGCGTATTTTGGTTCTCTTTACCAATTACCCAGATTGATTTTTTGACATAAATATATATAATAGTCTACGTTTTCAATAACGTTGTCTACGGTAATGTTATGGCTATTGTTGCTCATTATCTTGGTCTTCTTCAAGTTCATTTTAAGGCCAATTTTCTGGGATTGGTCATTTAGCTCCTTCGGCATGGTGTTCAGTTCTTGAATGTCGGTGCTCAGCAAGACAATATGGTCTGCGAACTAAACTAAGGTCTACCCCATCGATGTTTAGACCTATATTTTCCCATTCTAATTTCTTAAAGACATTTTCCAGTGACAACGTAAATAACTTGGAAGAGATGATATCTCCTTGTCTCACGCCCTTGCCGAGTGGTATTTTTTCCTGTTTTGAGGTCATCATCTAATTTAACTTGAAAGGTTCCACTTTTATAGATATTTTTAATCATAGAATAGAATATCTATTCCATTCCATTATTAAAAATTCCATTCCTTCCTTTAGCCAGCGAAAATTTTGTTCGATCGTCACATGGTCAACGTTTATTATTTATATTTATTATTTACATAACAAAAACATAATGAGAAACAGAAACAAGGTGTAACTGTAGCATTTTTAGCCGATCTCTATGTCTGTTCGCTATTAGCATACATATACGGACGATTTTGGAATTTCTCACTTCAGATGACGCGTCGTGTGTCCAAATCGATCGCCCGCGTCATCGACCACGTGTATTTGCCGTATTGGTTTACACATTGTTGTTTGTAATTACGGTAACCGGATAGCTTGAAAAGTGGAACAGATTCTTCTCAATGTTAACCATAGAATATCAAAAAAATAAAATAAAAGCATAATATATCAAGTAATAGTAAAAACATTTTTCATAATATTTACATTTTCATTTTTTACACCACTCTAAAATTTCATTCAGAACTTCGCAATTCATGGAATAAATTAGTGGTTTCAATTACACTTTATACTTTTTAGTTTACGATCATTCACAATGTCTAAAAAACACAATTAAAATTAATAGCAGATCCTAGCAACAGCTTTCAGTAGTCAGTTGTCTCCATAGAGAAAACCCATACAGCACTTATTAGATACAGACACAGGGTGACACAATTCCCCCGATGTAAATATGCTACGTCTACACATTGTAGTTCAACACGTATGCACAAAGGTTAAACGTCCGCCTCACAATGTAGCCACAGTATAGCATTTACGTATACACAAAGTAAGGGATACACAGTGTGCCGTAGGATACACAGTGCTTGTGTATTACGTTTAAACTCTGTTTACACATTGCAGTTGTGACTACCGCGTGTATACGTATGTATTTTGCTTCGTATATACATCTTGTGCTAGATAAAACTACTTCTTATGAACGAATTTAGGAAATAATATAAGTTTTGATGCCTAACTTTTCGTTCTTTTTAAGAATTATTTATTCAATGATCCCAATTATATCTTTTTAGAACGAAAATTAGGAAGACAAAACTTTGTATTTTCCAAAAGAAAACACTGTAAAAGAACAGAATTTGTATCAAAATGTATTAAAAATATTGATATTAAAAGTACCTAGTATAACACATACTAAAATGGTAAACACTGGTATATCGCCACGATTTGGTGGACCTCGTTTAGTCATTTTTTGTCCTCTTTTCCTTCCAAGCAGTTGGTTTGTTAGCATACTCATTCATCGAGCACTCTGTTGGACTTTGTTGTATTTTATTTCCAGATTAACAATCTCACCCTTAAATTTTATATGAAACTGATTATTGAATATTAAACATATCTGTATATTGATCCATCAATAACTTACCGAATATCAATGTAAGAAGTTCTTTGAAGTGTTTAAATCTTTCTTTTTCTCGTTCATTTAGATTTTTATTATTTCCAAATTAAAAAAAATATATTGCATAGCTAACCTCTTTATCATTATACGAAAATATTTGGAGTTTTCTTTCATTGGAGTCAAAATTTGGTAAATTGGGTATCGAGTACCGGAAGAGTCGCTACTATAATATTAATAATACACTTAGGAAGGTGTAACAAGGTAATTAAAAACTTGTGCTTACCTTTAAATCTCTTTTAAACTACACACAAACAGAACATTTATATAGAGCTTCCGAATGATAAAACAATAATAGCTGCTAACACATACCACTGCTAGAAAGGAGAAAGGAGAGAGGACACATAAGATACACTTGGTCGGTGTATCTACGCTGAGGCTATCCGCGCGTGCGCACACCTTCATTTCATGCTAGAATGTAGACACAACAGTACACTATTACAAAATATCTGTATAGATATTTATATTATGTGTATACGTCACATTTTTACAAGGTGTGTACTATAAGCACAACTATGATACGACGTATCACACATACATATGACTTATACATTGTATATCTCATATACCGACGTCAGATTTCATCATTTTAATAATTATTTGTTACGTTACAAAAAACTCTTTAGAATCCTGTGTGCACACGGTATACAACTAGTAAACACTGTATCACACAATTCTATCAATATAAACCTGCGTGTATCTCATATGTATATGTTAGAACTAGATGAACACTTAGGTTCACTTTAACATATTTTGTTTTTCATGTGTCTCCCTTGTAGAAACGTAATTTCATTTGGACGTGCTGTATGGGAACCTAATATTTAGCTTATAAAACAATAAACTTTTGATGTCTAACCAAATTTTGTCTTGACGGATGGTAATCAGAGGCCAACATGACATTCGTCGCAAATTTTGATGTATGATTAGTGGAAAAGTTAAAACTTTGTTAACTTTTTCCATTAATTGAAAATTCCGACCACTAATTTTAACGTTCTGAATACTTACATTCAAATTACAGAAACAAACGTCTACGCTAATTGAAACCACTAATTTATTACATTAATTGTGGTTCTGAATGAAGCTTATGTCAATTTATAATTGATATTGATACTGTTAGTTTTAGTCATCACCTGAAAGCAGTTATAGTTAAAAAGTATAATTTTTTATCTAATTAATTTTATCACTTACTATATATTTTATATATTTTTATCACTAATTTTTTATTTGGTGTAAAGTATAGTACAATTTTTTTAAAAGTTCCTCAATATGGCCGACCTAGTTACGAAAATTGGTAAATTTTTTTTAATGAAAAATAAGTTGGCGTTAGCGAATTCAGCTTTGAATAAGAAGACTAAGGAAGGAGCATAATGCTATCCATGTATTCATGCATGGTGGGCAGAAAAAGCACCATAAACGCTCTCTAGGGTGGGGATCCTTGACAGTTCTGTTTGACGATTCATTTGACACACATTTGAATTTGATTTGAAATTTTGTGGATTTGTCAGTCTTTACGGAGCTTATTTTATGTTATTTATTATTTATTCTACTACTGATAGTTGTATAAAGGTAGTAAATCTAGATGGAAATTGTGGCAGCACTTAAATTAACAGTGACACTATCGCGATTTATCGAAAAAGACTCTAAAATAGTTGGTTGTGTAGCGTGCGGTAGATCTCGGCAAAAATTGAGTGAAATAATGGAACAACTTTTCGCTAGTAAGTGACTATATAATATACATACGTGTAGTAAACCGATCATTTATGAAATTCACTTAAATTACTAAATTATATATTTTTCTTGCATTTTAGCTTTTATTTATTACTTGTCAAAGATTAGATGTCAAAGAATTTAGATACGTTAATTTGACTTACCTGCTTCAGTAGCGTATCGGATGTTTGTGGTAATAAATACTTATTATAACTTATCTATTTTTATTAGAATTATATATTTTTATAACAATTTTAATA